TATTTGGTGCGGCCACTGAAAAGGAAAATCATTGAGGCACGGGAAATATACCGCATCATGCCGGAAATCAATGCGAAAGAGAAGATGCGTGACCTACTGAGCCTGATTGAGTGATAACACTTAGTCGTCTAAGGGCAAGAGCAGTGCCCATTTTCCCTTCAAGATCCCCGCCGACAGGAACATTTACATATGCCAAAAGCTCACCAATAAAAGTGAAGAGCGAAGAGCCTCGAAAAGTACACAAAACGACAACAAGAAATTGGTAAGTAACATCTAGTAAGTGAGCTATGTGTTTCAATTCAAGAGAGGAAAGTGGTGGACAAGACTTTTTGCTTGATGGTGAAACTCCTGCTACTGCTTAAGCAATTTCAAACCCCACTGCTGCTTTGTTTCAACTCTTGAAGGCTTTTCTCCGTTTTTGCCGCTTTCCCAACGACCTAATTCTTTCCATCATATTCCGAATGGCGCCTGCGTGAATCCTTACTCCGCTTCGTTTCCTTTCGTTATCATTTTCTGCGGTACAATCGTGCATGGGAGATATTATGACCCCCGATGCATGGAACCCAAAACATTTTATTCAAACAAAACAATGCGAAACACAACACAAACTATAGAACTATTCTGAAGATCACTCAAGAAACTCATCTGCTTTCAAAATCAGGCCACAGTCTGTGGAATCAGAGTTAATTCTGATCATGGCCTAATGCCGTCATATTGAAAAGTTTTGATTCCAAATGAGGCAACCTACCGAGAACATCGCTTGGATGGTGCCAGTAATCAGTAATTCGAGTGATAGCGGTAAATCCTGTCCAAAGGGTGAAAATAGCTAATAATATGTTCCGAGTCTTATATAGAGATGGAATACCAGTGATATTCGCCATCCTGTAAATACATGCTGCAGTGCGCCAGAAATAAATCGACAAATATTACAGAGACTGAAGCTCAGAGATTTAAATAACATTTTGAATTAGTCTCACGTACCTGCATAAATATAACCCAAGGAACATCAAAACGTGGAAAGCGGCCGCAGTATGTCCAGATGGGAACGAAGTCCTAGCAGTACGAATCCGCCGAGTGTCGGGATTCAAACAAAATGTTTCAGAGACTGAAATACGTCTTTTACCTTCGAAGCGAACACCACGGTACAAAATTGAGTTGATATAATTACATCTAAACTTGGAATCGAAATTGGATCGGAATGATATAAAAGTATTTCTGGAGAGATTGGAATAACATTAACCAGTTTTCTTCCGCGTTTAGAAGGCACTTCAAAAGCTTCCAATTTTGATCCTTGAAAAGCTGAGAAAATGGTCAAATCTAGATATAGCAGCCTCTTCTTCCTTCAACAAGACCAAATATTTCAAAATGGTCAGAAAGCCCACTCCACTGAAGCTTTGTATTGTTTCAACGACAAAACTTGCACCTATTCAACTAACCATAAGAATAGTTCTACCGCTCCATAAAGTGCAGGCTTACCCCGAGTGAAATGAGAAAAGCTCTTCTGGTAATGGGTAGACTTTCTGTGGGCAGCGTGCTACTGCTGCAGCTCAACATGCACATCAAAGTATCCTTTGGCTATTTCTAAGAAATGGAAAAGTAGGAATGTAGCACGAACGGCCGGCTAGTGGGATTCTCCCATGCTCTCCACTCTCCACTAAAGGACAGAAGTACTCAATATCCAACAATTGCGAACGATAGGTGCGAGGAAAGTTACAAGCAAAATTTTCTTCCTTCGGCTTAATTGGAATCAAACAAAGGGATGCCAAACCTGGGATATAGTCCTTGTCCGTACAATCCATGCGAGACCAATCAGGCTGGCAGACAGCAAGAAAATGGGGACGCAGGCGGCCAATAGTACATTTCAAGTACTCCATTAAAAATGTGCAAACGGCAAATGATATCAAATAAGTAAGATACAGCAGTGTCGATGTAGTGAAATAATTCGCGAGCTTGTTAGTTCCCTGAAAAAAAAGGAACCCTAACACTTACAAATATACATTGACAGATACCAAGTCGGGTCACTCCTGAAAGTCAAGGCAGTTTCTAGCAACGTGTGGATTCTTGACAAAAACTACGGTGAAGGAAGAGCTGAGCCAACCTGTGAGGCACGAAAGATCAGAGCCTCAACAAAACAGATGATGAAGAACGGTGTTCCTAAAGAAATAACCAGAAGCTGTTTCATCCTAACAGTGTTATTTTGAAACGGTCGATTTATTGAATCATCGTTACACGGGATTGGGCGCTCGTAGGGTGAAATAGCATACCTGAAATGCGGCAGAACATAACAAATGTAAAAAAAGATTATATCGGTCCTATAAGTAGTTCAAATGTAAACGAATAAGTAAAACTGATTACTTACCCAGCAAACATGTAGAAAAGAGCGATCGAGATTGCGAGTGTGATCGCTATATCAAGACCCATGCATATTAAACCTCGTAGAAGAATTTTTCGATAATCGTCATCTTCTTTTGCTTTAGGACCCAGTCTTCCACTGAATGTGATCCGTTTTAAAGGCATACGGAAACCTGTAACAAGCAACAATTTGATCTTTGGCAGCCTCGCCATCTGGACAAAGTAAGTGTTCGTATTGAAGAAGTTCAAAAAGGACAGAAAGGTGTTGGGGAGCAGTCCGCTGTGTCGTCTCTAGCACTAATCAGTAGAGCGTAGCGACGGATGATGTGCCCACTAAATCAATTTTGAACGGTGCAAAAAACGATTCAGTGCCGGGAATGGGGATTTGTATTAAAGCTGAGTGAACCTGCCCATGTGTAAAAGTTAGTATTCATGCTCCCAACCGTGAAAGCAAATGCTCTCTAAAGCTCTAAAATGAGCGGCAAAGCTAACCAAGTTTCCACCAAAACTTAAATTCTTAGCAAGTTTCTGGAGTGATTAAGTTTTGCCCAATGAAATTTTATTAAACGGTATCATACACTTTTCGTTCTTTCGCTGACAAACCCCCACAACATAATTGGCAATTATTGCTAAGCATGAACTAGTTAAAAATATGGAGGGGGCAATTCACAAGAAAACACGATGAAAGTGAACAGAACAAAACTGTAAAAACCATCACAGTCACGGCAATCACTTCTCCCATATTGGACGGAGTCGATCAGGTTTTGGCTGCACTCTAGAATGCCCTAATTACATCACCTTTTCCAATTTCCATCGGCAAAGGGGCAGGGATCTCAACGTCAAATGAGCGATAACCTCCGTGCACCACATCATTACGTTTAAACTTACGCTTTCCAATTACTGTAGTAATAAAGTCTGTGCAAAAGCGCGTTCCCTTTTTTCGAAAAATGAGCTGCACTACGGTTATAAAGAATGTTATCGAACTCAATTCACTCTAACTGTGCGACACGAGCTTACCTTAAAGCAGCTGCAGCTCTGGAAGTTATTGATGTAAGTTTTCCCTCTCAACTTCTCTTCAGTCTTGTTTCCATTCAGTCAGATTGCCTCTTTTTAGATTTTACGGTATCGTTAACTCTGCTATCTAGCAGAACAACAATCGAACTATTATGTCCGTTTCGACGAAACGACGGTACATAACGAATAAGGTAAGGAAATGATTCTTCATAGTTTCCATCCCAGGAAAGATCCAGTTTTATGGCTCAACTAGGTGTGAGTTCCATAAGTTGTTAGCATATGCGTTCATAGATCGCACCGATTTGCTAGTCCCTCCGAAGGTTGAATTGAATGGTCGGGCAAGTCTTCGACCTAGTTGGAGATTCGGTGAAGTGGATGATTCGAACTGCATTAAAACAAATTAATAAAAAAAAGTAGGATGGAAGAACGAACCAGCCGTACCGTATCCAGTTCTTTCCGATCATCCCTCATGCTTTCCAAGTAGTTCGGTGTCAAAAGATTATGTGGCTTAATCAACGAACTAGGGTTAGGAACTATAAGTCCTTTACATAAAAAGGGCGAGACCAGAAGAAAAGATCAAGTTTATTTTAAGAGGCAGGATTGAGGAAGTGTATCTCTTGCTCAGGAGCGAGTGAAAGCTTCTGTTCAAGCTAAAGTCACTGATTCGTTTGACACCTTCATTTGAAAGCCCTTCCTAGGCTAGAGCTTTGTTGCCGGCAAAAATAAAAAAATAAACTATTATAAGACTGCTGCATTATCCGTCTTTTCATGACGGAAATAACTAAAATTTCTGCGTGAAGCGTTTGGTTGACAAGGTGGTGATATTCATCAGGTTCGACCGTGTATGTAGGACCGCCATATCAAATAGTCACTATTTCAATGTCAATTTTGATAGCCACTGGTGTAGCGAACTTCAGAATGACTCATTACATAACGCTTTCTGATTTCGTGTTGTTGCTTGATTCAGTGTAGAAACCAAATGTCATGGTTCACACTGTGTCTTGGGCATTTATGAGAAGACTTTCGAATGTTTTCGCGAAGGTGATTAGCTTAGTTAACGCTCTTATGGAATAGTCTGTCCGTTTGAATATATGATCTCAGTTTTACATGGATTCATTTAGTCTTCTGAGGAATCCAGGATGTAGTCGTTCTGATTGCAACGGATGGTGTATTGAAAAAATTCAATGGGTTTCTTCCAGCAGTGTCGGATAGAAGTTCAGAAGAATTTTTTGCAGGTAGAATCTGAATATTACACACCGGTGGAAGGAGATATTATTGCACAAGTAAGGAACGCAAGAGGGAACAACTTACACGAGGTAAATGGTCATGTTTTTAGGGAACCATCGCATTACAGCATTGAAGTGTCGTAAGTCTAAAAACAAAATTACTCAGGTAACTCATAGGAAGCATGCATGTCTTCAACACTGTAATGAAATACTATTTTCGGTCTCATTTTAATTCACATGATATCCACGAATAGAAGTGAAACTGGTATTTATTTCACGATTTACCCAGGGCCCATTGTTTGCAACGTCTTTGCGGCATTGTCATCTGTTGGGAGGGGTTTTTATGTTTGAATTTCTGTCAGCTGCTGTATTCATTCCGCAACAGGCATTGTGTACAGTGTCAAGTTTCGAGTTGTAATTGGCTTCATATTGGGCGAAGCAACGTAAAATCAAAAGTAGAGCTGCAAATGCTGCTTACACTCACTTTTTGACAGGCAGTTTTTGGCACTGTAACTACCCGGGAAGGAAGTGGTTAACGGGAATTCTTCATTACGGAGCCGAAACTACACTGTAATCAAAACTGTTATTCTGTTCATACAGATTAGATTTGCCCTGGAGTCTCACCCCGTTTTCAAATGTGCACTCGGCCTTCTCCGATTCCTGCTTTGTGCTAGGTACAGGATAAGCTCTTTGTGTTGTAACAAAGCTTGTACAATAACTGGCTATTTTTTTAGTTACTGTTTATTGAAGCTCAGGTTACCTTAACATTGAAAGTCTTCACCACAGTAGGCTTTCTCTTTTCACTCAAACAACGTCTCAATACAGAGACCAGCAAAAAAAACCAGTCGTTGGTTGCTTGAGGCTCGTCTCAAATTTCGTATTTTTCCAGGTCGAAGATGAAAATGGTGAAACTTACGTTGCAAGTATGCCATCTAAGTTCAGAAAAGCTATATGGATTCGTAGAGGACAATTCGTTGTTCTCCGACCTATCGAAGAGGGTGATAAGGTGGTTCCTTGAATACTATCTACAGACAATGCCCCACACTTTGTGAACACCTCAGACTGTTGCTTCCAGGTGAAAGCGGAAATTGAACATGTCTTGGATGAAGAGAACATTCTGTACATTAGGTCTATAAACAAGTAGGTTTCACTACTTGCATTTTATTCATTTTTTTTCTTTATTTTGGTACGACAGTAACTAGTCTTCCTTTTCATATTCCCATAGCTTCTCTGTTGTTTGCGAAAGTGCTTTGCGGCGCCTCGAATTTGATTTTGTCTTCAGTCGCTTTGTTGTGATAAGGTATATAAGGGGAGTGGTTCATATCCATTCAGTATTTCAGGTGGCCCGCTCGATTTGAAGAGCAGGCTCGAATGATGACAAGAGATGCTAAACGAGGGGGAAAAGGGGAAGACACCATGATTGACGACGATATGCTACCACCAACGTGAGTTTCAGTTGCTAGGAATGTTTTGTACGTTTGAAAAATAAATAAAGTTTTGTGATCAATGTGGTGATGAAGTCTCCTGAATCTTGTCTTTTAAGTGACAGTGATGAATATGAGAGTGACGAGGAGCAGACAGATGATGAAGAAGAGGATGATGTTTCGGCTGAAAATTCGGAAGATGATAATCATGAGTTGAATTTGCCTCAGTATAACCCAAATCGTGATAAAGCGCCAACAAGCACATAGGCTATCACAATTGTAGAGCTATTCAGCTTCTTATTGAGTTCACACGTGGTCCTATTCTGATAATTCATGTCTTTCTGATATGCCAGTGGTGTGCCCTTTGCTTACAACGCTTCCTTTACAATGTAATCTGTCCCTCATCTTCGAACCAATTCTTTCTTCTGATCAATCTCATGATGTACTGTCACCCTTTGCTAATGATCGATCGACGGGAGGTTGGAATTTGTTCATTTATTAATGCTATGTAATTGTACGTTCTGTCTTCCAGTACATATCTAGCTATTATGGGATGACGTTTTCGTTTTTGAATTGAACACAAGTTGTTGATTTTGTTAGTCTATGAGAGTTCTATTTGTTGATTATCAGAGAATGTTTTCATGAATTTGTACACTATATGTTCAGTGCCGCTGACGATGGTATGACATCCAGCACATACTTGAAACATCAGTTTAATCGAGAAGTTCGTCGCTTTTCTCTGCAGTTATGATTTGTTTTCGATTTTCTGATAGTCTTAAAGAAGAGCCGGTGTTTTGGTTCTGCTTGAGGCCTATCCGGTTTTCTACCTTATCTTTTATAAACTAGGTTCGATTAATCAGCACATTGATTGGAGTGCTGCCCTGCTCATAATACTTTTTTCCGTCTTCGTCATCTTGCTTCGCCAGATTACTACCTATTAGATTAAGAGCTTCTCATTAGTCGTTTTCAATTAGGCGCATGGATGGGTTAAAAGTGCCTAGATGGGTTAAAAGTGCCGAATAAGCGCCCTTCTCGAGGAACCGCAGTAAACTGGTCTTATACTGAGCTCCGTCTGAGCCAGGATTTCTTTCTGAACATGCTCTTATTGAGTTGGAGGCTATCGGCCCTCTACTCAAAGCTATTGAAATGGTTTGTTCATAGTTGTTTAAGTTCACGGAATTACTTGACTGATTTTCAATTCAATTATTTTCGCACTACTTGATTTGCATCACTCGTTCTCCTGTCTCTTCGAAAAAGTGCTCTCAATGATCACTGTGTAAGGCATACATTTTCTATGCGACATTTACTCGATTTTTTACACAAGCATCAGTCGAAATCTCATAGAGCTGAGTAAATCCTCTTTGCTCTTTCTGTGCTCTTTCTTGAGTTTGTGTCGCTGTTCCTGCTACCAATCGATATTTATAACCCATAATGCCATTTTTCAGACTAATTCCTATTTTTTTCTCTTGGAACTCAACCCTTTTTATGCGCTTTATGCTGGGGCTGTCCCAAAAAATTATGCAATCACGTGTCCTATCTTTGTAAGCGTAGTACACATGAGAGTTAAAACCCTGATTCTTGATCAAACTATCGTCTGAAAAGCTTAGCGCGTGACGAGGCAATCAGCAATGCTATCGCATGACCCGCTTTGGTGAGATTATTCCCTCCCGAAGTGCAGCTACCCCAACATTGACTAAAATTAAAGTGGTGTCTCTCGCCCTGCATTTTTCTTTTAGTTAGTCAAAGCTAGCAGGTGTTCGCTTGCATGTTTACTTTGAGTCGCTCTCTTCAAAAGCGTTTAATTATGAAGCAGCTTTTATGTGCAATGGCATGCAAAAATCGTTGAACGCTTCATGGTGACTTGCAGTTATGCTTGAAATGGATGAGTTTCTTCTCTCCAGATCTGCTGACCATCAACTACAGTGTAGCGACCCCAACGACTTCCCGTTTTTTGTTGACTGAGCATCGTAGATTGTGGGAAAAGTATGTGTCAATAAGGGTTTTTGTATTGAACTTACTCGCGCCTATCTCGTAGCGTAGCTCGTATCTATAGCGTAGCTGCGAAGCAGTCGAAAGACCTACTCTTTCAATCAAAATGGTTGCTTTCTTGTCACGTAAACATATATTGGTAAGGCAAACATAGCGGAATGTGTTCGTTCATATGCGTGAGTGTGCTCAAGCTGGCTGAGGAACGGGAATTCGCATAATGTGGTAAATGTGGCGTGAAATTATCGGACCGTGATCAATTTTTGTGGTCGCCTAAGCAATTGTCCTTTCCAAGCCACTGCTTTCTAGTAGTGTAGTAATGAGGGTTCAAAAAAGCAGGCTGGTTCGCTACAAGTAAAAAGTAGGTTCTGTCGTAGATGATTCTGGCCTTCTGATTTATACTCATGTATTCAAAGGGAAAAGTCAGGCGAGTTGCTTTGATTGGCCATGGATATGATCCATATTCAGCACCATGAGAGCTATCGTTCTAGACAGTATCCTCGGAAGGGAGGGAATGGTGTAGTCGCTGTTCAGAACTATTTTCAGTTACTCATATCAATTTCGTTAATTAGACGGTATGACTGATCCGTTGGGGAACTGGATAATAATTACAACATAAGTACTATTCAGAGATAATATGGAGTTGCACTGGTCTATTGAAGTTATGCTCAGGTCTTGTAATAGCAGGATTTGAACACAGGTCGGAAACACGTCATCGCAGTAGGCTGAATAGTACGGCATGCTTTGCTAACAACTTTTTTGGTATGAGTAATGCAATGGTCACGAGTAGTTTAATGATTCGTCAACCTGACCTTTTATTACACAACTGTATCGCTTTCAGTTTAGCCAAGATGTTATAAAATAGTGGCTGCGATCACCTTTGATATTTCTCTCTGTGTTACTGCCCCACCCAGTCGCTTTCCGGTTATTTCTATTGTTTGGTTTCTCATTTTTGAAGACAAATACGATTTTCTTAGTCCAATTTAGCGCCGCACCACTGTACCTTCTATTATGTAGGAGAGGCTTTCAAGTGATAACGTTCACGTCTTCAAAAATATTTGTGCAGCTGCAGTTACAAAATCGTTCTTGTCTATTGTTTAGTTATGCAAAGTAAATGCCGGAATCGCTTCGAAAACCTTTATTTTTGGGGATGTCATTCTTCTCTTTGCTTTTAAGGCAGTAACCATATGAAGACAGCGCTTATGAATTGTTCCTTGACTATCCTCAAGCATTCTTTCTTGGCGCATTCATGGTAAGATTCGATAGAGAAAATCAAGTATGACTCTTTTACTAATCACTTATACGTGTTTCATGCTGTTTCATATGCCTTTCACCTCTATATAGTAGCGATTGTCATCGAAAACACGTCTTCGACTTAATCACATGCGTAATTCGTGATTTCTTTGTCTTTTATTCGGCCTCCTTTCCTATTCGTTGACCATCTCACAGCCTCCAAAGATAAGCGTCTGAAGGAATTGCACATTCACATTGAACTTCGTGGATCTCCTATTTTCCTTGACAACTCATATTTCTCTTCATAGGGTACATTTCTTTTTGTGCATTCGGTTGTTGCGAACTGTGGCAAAATTCGTTCTATGGTAGCACTCCCACTATTTCTTCTAAATCTGGACCTGAATGGGTAGTAAGATAATTGGATTAGCCTCGAAACGTGATGCTGCGCAGCCTGTAACAGGTCGAATTGATGCCTATTCTGTATGTTAGGCCTGTTCGAATAATGCCGATCCACACTCAGAAAGGATGTAGAATGTACTACGTACCCGGTTGACTTGCACCCAAATCTTCAGCCGCTCTTATATTTGTTTTAGCTGAGCGATTGGAACGATGCACTTTATCTAGGTCGAACGATGAGTGTCTACCGCAGGCTATTTTTTTCGATGTCGTTTCCGTTTGTAAGATTGCAGTGCGTCAAGCTTATGATGTTCCGCAGCGTTGTCGTCGAATTGTATCGGCCAACGTTAAAGATGATGTTAGAAAGTGACCTACATGTTTAGCTTTCAAAAAAACTGAATAGTACAGCCTGGACAGCGCGTGACAATGTCTGAAACCCTTGCAGATGTATAGTTCTTATTATTTGCGACATTTCTAAGTTAGGAAGTGTAGTCGTCAAAAGTTGCGCCTTACTCAAAGGTGAATTTTCCTCTTCAAAAGAGAGTAAATGGTGGAGATAGAAAGATCTACTAGTGGAGGCCTGCAGTAGATGCCTGCGATGTCTATGCGCCAACATAGGTATCGGCTTACAGGAATACAACTTGATAATTTGGTCATTAGTCATTCCTGTAATGGATTTTGCGCTCATTCCGGTTCTGCTGCTTGAGTCGATTCTGAGATGTCTTCATTCTTCTCGCGAACAGACATTAGATAAAACACGCTCTCCTTGTCCCCGCCAACACTTTGTTGAAGTGTGACTTCTCAGTCAACCCTATTTCGGGTCTCGCAGCTTCACAGACGTCGATTCAGCAAAAGTACTGATAGCGGGCTTGCTTGTCCACATATTTCTGCTATCTCAAAAAAGTATAATCGGTCAAACCGGTGTCGCTATTAGTCTCGTGACGTTCTCACTGTCGCTCCACCGCACTGGGTAATATGATATTCGGCAGGAAAAAGTAAGTCCGTTATTTTGTTCAGTTTCGCGCGTTTATGTACCTTCCAATCATACTCCTGTCTAGTCTTCACTTTCATTCCGTTGTACTTACACGCATATGTTACATACCATTTTCTACCACGAGGCACTCTAAAAGAAGGGGTAGAGTGGTGCTGAATATGGGCATAATCTTCTTATAATTAGATTAGGTTGNCCCTCCGCTCCTGTCCTGTCCGTCGTTTTTTCTCAGATTCTTATTAATCATGTTTGAGATATTTTTAGTGTAGTACGTAACAGATGTAGGAGATCTGTCTGAGAACCAGAGCGGCTCAAAAGCCCAAGCTTCGCCCCCAGGTCGAATAACTGTGAGTCAGAAAGGGTCAAAACCAATCATGCTCGGTTGCGTTAACGAATGTAAGCTGCAGACCTGCAAGATAGTGATTGAATTAATGGATGCTGCTTCTGATAAGGGCACTACTACCAATCGTAAAGTGCCCGTAACTAGCAACTAAATGGTTTCCGTAGGTGGTGCGAGCAAGAAAGATCAACCTCAACGAGAGCGCACGCTTAGTTTCGTTGAAATCTCTTGCGCTATAGCTGGAGGTACATCGAGGTTCCAACATTTTTCCATTGGATCCCAACATTGGGGAATGAACCGGGCATTTGGATACAGTCATAGCATCACCACACACAAAAAATTGGGCCATCGCACAACGATGTCTCGACGGGTAAAACGCAGTGAACAATGACGACAGCCGAACGCGCGTGATTATCTGCGAATGTCTCCTGCGGAGGAACTGGCGGTTCTTCTAACTCGATCATCACGGAGTATGAGTTCTGGGTTCACCACAAGAATAGTGTGCTACGAAGTTGTTCGCTGGTTTTGGGCTAAATCTTTCGAATTGACCAGATCTTATGTTCCATGCGCTCCATTTCTGGGATTGACAGAGCATAGAGTGTCGGAGCTTCAAGTTGCAAGTAGACAGCCGCTGTTTAAAAGGAAACTGAGCTGGTTGACGGTAGCCCTTTGAAAACTAACAACTCTAGGCGAGCATTCATTCGTATCTTCAAATGAACCTTCGCAAGGGATGAAGATTATGAAGGTTTCAATAATTTGGCAAACGATCTCTCTGAGCTGTTCGAATTGCCAATCTCATTTTTCTAAGAAAATTCTCAATCGTTGCCTCATCATATGTTTGTATATCCCTAACCACGGTGTCGATTCAAGGAAGAATTGTGAATTAAGATTTAAAAGATTTAAGGATCAATTATGAAGAAGGGAATGATTTGAAATGGATTAAAATGCGGTAAGAAATTGCAGCACAACATAAATTTCATAATCGTGTCGATGTACTAGTTGGGCGATACATATCCTCTTTTCAAAGGGGTTTCCGTTAATGTATACAGTCTAAGCGGCTTAGAAGTGAAGTGCATTAATAAAGCGGGACATCATTCGGCAGTGGAATAGAACTCGTCAGTGTCTCACTCTCACTCTGATCCTGATTGCGTCCCGATATCAAAATGTCTCTCTTCGATTCCTTTGAGAATTTCCTACGGTAAGTATCCTTTACTTGTGTCATTATTCCGTCTTCATGTGTATATTCAGGGTATATCCGAAATAATTGCTGGTAATTTTGAGGACGCGAAGTGGAACGGCGGGTGAAGAAAAGGAGTTCTTTATTCAGCAAGAAAGTTTTTGGGGATTGCGTTCCTCTTCTGTCCGTAGTTCGGTCCTGGTCTTGGTTACCCATGATGGCCTCCTGCTAACGAGTACACTTATCAGTGAAGTTGTGGGAGACTTGTGTTGCAACCTTCGACCATATCAGGCTGGCCGAACAATTCTGTTGAACACTAGTTCTTCATTTATTAGAGTACTCAGTACACACCACGTTTGTTCCCAAATAAACTGGCTGTTGTGGGAGTATCGATCGGGATCCTGATATTCTCTCGGTATTCTACTCATTCACTGATGGTGATGCTATTTACATAAGCGGTTTATTTCTGAAACAACTCCCCGCAGTCGGTCTCTTTCGATGATTGTGGTTTGAGTTTATGCGGAAAAGTTCGTCTATCACTTCCATTGGCTACCTTTTTCTTATCAGAACCCATCGGCCCTCCATATTTGTAAAAGTCGTGAAAATGCTGGTCTTTGGTCTGGGCTGTTGAATGAGTCCTAGCAATAAGTTTCACGGGAGCATGGATTTGTCATAGCTTCGTGGATTTTAGACCAATATTTTACCTCATGGTGGCAATGTTCGGTCGTCATCATTGGCTCCTTGCCACTTTCGAGTTACATTCAGACCGATCGCCCACAAAACCAGTAAAACTCACCAAGGAACAGTAATACTGTAGCCCGCGGTTGGCGTTACAGTAGAAATGAACTGTTCACCTGACAGCCGATCAATATCGTCATAGGACGGGTGTGTTTAGTCTGCGAAGAAGTGCACCACGCCCCTCCACAGGTCGTTCCTTCTTCAGTGTCGTCAAATATCTGAACGTCTGCTGATATTCGGAGGTAAAACGGCGGGTAGTACAACTGTAGTCTTCGGATTGTATGTCGGACCTCTTCCAATCTGCAGGGCTTGAGATGTTCACTGCAGTAGTTTCCTTTCATTAATGCTCTGTTTGATTCGGTAGATTCGTACGAACTCATTTTGCCAGTTTCTGAATTTTCAATGAGGATTAGTTTTGTTAGCTGTTCTTTGGTTCTGACATGGGCGCTACGTCCATGGTCACGAGTTTTTGTTGTGTTTTCCATTTCCCTCGTTAAACTTTTCGTGATCGTCTGTGAAGATATTAGAATTCGGTGAAAATGTCGCCCGTCCAGCTTCCATTCAATGATTTACATACCATTCTGGACTGGACAGACTGCATGATTAGTCATTGGTGTGTGAAACTGCGCTTCGAGCCTTACCCTTTGTCAGTAGTCCTCAGATCATAGTACACTGACATAGCAACGTGGCAACCGGAATATTATCATCACAAACATCTTTGCTTGTTGAACTAGTCATGTGGTAGTACCCATCGATGTGTACGGGTGCTTTATAACACCTGATGCTTGCTACTTGCTGACTCCACGGTGCGTAGCTTAGCATTCTACATCCTCTGATCTCTCGCATATGAATGAAATGCTACAAAGCCTGGACACCGGGCTGCGCCGTCTCACATATGCACAACCTGCTTTTATCTCTTCGTTGGCTTCATGATTTCTTCTGATTTACGAAGTGTAGGGTTCATCTAGGGATGTCTGTCAGGGCTCATTTTCATAAGCTATCATTCCTCGGGATCTCATTTCCAAAATTGCTTNGACTGTCTAATGACACTCGGGTTCTACTTGCACCCTGAAACTGGCGCTATCTCTCCGTATCTCTCTCACGCCATATCATTTGCCTAGCATGGGATCAATGAGTGCATCTTTCTGATCAATCATCAACAGTAGTCCATTTATGGATCACTTTAAAATAAATCATAGCCGTTGTTTTTCACTTTTCAAAGAACTCGTTTCAAGTATTTCAGTAGAAGTGTAGACAATATACTCTTTTTCTTGATCGATAAGTATCATATTCATGCATATGATTGTTCATTCCAGAACGATAGCCGCAAAGATGGGCAACAGCAGCTCGTTAATGCTTCGCGATGAAGAAATCGATGAGATCGCCAAGGAGACAGAATGTGAGATCACTTTATATAACAGTATAACGGTTTTTGGGCTTACACCTTTTTAATTGTCACGCCTTTCAGTCACGTGACACTGTTTTTTTCATTTTCATTTTTCAGTCAATCGAAATCAAATCGTCCGCCTTTACAGTCGCTTCCTGTCCTTAGATAAGAAAGGTTTGTAATTTTTTTTCAATTAAACCTTTTGTGTAGGGCATCTCAGTGCTGTGGTCACCTTTTAAAAAAAGAACCTTTATAAAAAGATCGCAACCTGGAGGTACAGTCCAGGTTTTCTCAGAGTCAAAGTGTTCAGTATAATGACGGGTCTTTTTTAATAGAAAAGACGGCGAATAATAGGCCTATTGAAGGTTTAAGAATGGGTTCGGTTTCCAAACCGTTAAGCTGCCGAAACATGGATGAGTTCGTTTCAAATTGAGCAATTATCGCAGATCACCTTCTCTTCTCCACGCACAAGTTGAATCGGATTCCTTCTGACAACTTGGGTTTTTTGAGTCCTTGACAGCAAAAGTCAATTTATTGAAATCTGTTCAAATGCGCTCATAGAGTCCCGTCAGCCACAAAGCGGGAAGCTTCAGACTTCTAAGAAATATAATTTTTCATTTCCTGCTTACTTCTTTTGGACGTCGTTACTAAACTCATTTGCTTCTCCATTTCGGCAACGGCAGCGCTAATCGCTTTAGACTTTTGTGTAAGCTGAACAGGATGTCTGGTACCGTTTGTTCTTGCACTGCTATCATTTGTGACGTTGTGCGTTCAAAACAGGGCAAATTTTATCATTCTTTGCTTGAGAACGTGCGATATTTCAAAATGTTTTTTGCAGAAGGGGCCAAGCAAGTCAGCGTTGTACGCATTCTGTTTTTATAAGTAATGTAGGGTGACACAAAAGTGGGTGTACCATTCCTTTCTAGTACAAAACATTTCGATGGTCATGCTTGGCAATATTATAGCCTGTATGGCACATTCATGTCAACTAATACTGAAGGATGAAACTTCTAGAGACTATTAAGACCAGGAGGGTAATTAGTGACCGTTCAGCTAATCAGCACCCTTGGAAAATTCTGAGCTAAAGCAAATCAGAACTGATGTAATGAGCAGATGAATTTTTTTGCTAGCTTCTAAAGAACGACTTGAAATCAGTGCTACATCAACCACATCTACTTCAGGTCAGGGATTTCTTTCCCGTGATGATTTTTTGAACGTGCCTGAATTAGCAGTGAATCCACTTGGAGATCGCATCGTGGACGCCTTCTTCACGTTAGCGTAAGTTACGAATGTGTTTCGTGCCCCATCAGTTACAAATAATTCGACGCATATTTTCAACGTGGTCTGTATATATTGAATGGGAGCTATACTGCCTACCTACTTACTCAAGAACAAAGTAGACTCTGGGTGGTGTGTACTTTCATTCCATGATTGCACTTTCGTCTTCTGGGTTGTTCGTAAGATCATATCTGCTGCATTACCTGCTGTTCCGTTGATTGCTGCCCGTTTGCTTGCTTCACTAGGCCTTATCTAGTTTTCGATTCTTGCTTTTTGGGAAGAATGTAGCCTAAGTGATCATCCCTGATAGTTTTTCAGCCTTTCGTTCTGCAAAGTTATGCGTTCTCACGTCGTCTAACATCGAAAGGGGCTTGTTTATAGCGTTTTTGTCTCCTACTGTATGGCAAGATAGCACGACTTGCTTAGCTTATCTGATTTTTCAAGTTGACATCGTCTCTAATTTACGATTGCTCACGAATATTGGAATTCGGGAATCATCTCTTATCAAAGAGGAGTATTGAAGAAGTAGCAATGGTTTTAAGTTGTCTGTGACAGGGTAGCAAGAAGACTTGCGGCTCATTCATGTAGAAAGGTGCTAATCATTGCTCGTTTGACGACATGATTTTTATTGCCGTCAATGCTATCTGCTGTCAATGACCCATTATTCACTGATAGTTCTGATTCATGCATGAATAACATGTGATTGAGCTGATTGCGTAGTTTGGTCTTCTTGAATTATTGAGGTTCTTCTCTTTCAGTGGAGAAAACGAACAGCAATTGAACTTCCGCCAATTCGTACGAATCCTCGCACATTTCCAGCCGATCAATCGCTCGAAGAAAAATTCGCTGAACGGAAGGACGGAGAAGCTGAAATGTAGGTTGACCGTTTGAATTTCCTTTTTTCTCTTTTCCACAACATGTGAGTTTTACATGTTCGTGCCCTTAATTCTCTCTTTACATCTATTTCGATAAACACTGATAGCGTAGATATCACGCAGTCATCAGTTTTCGTGATAAAATGTAGTCAATTATAAAATGAGATTGTTTTGGATTCAGTCGTAGGGAGGGATGAGTATTTTGGATCCACTCGAAGGAAAGCATGGGTGCTTGTGATTTGCTGGCTATCATCCAGGCTTCCATCCAATAATTTCTTTTTTAGTTGCTTTCCAAATGTACGACTTGAACAAGAATGGCTACATAACTCGAGAGGAATTCAAAGTTATTCTTAACAGTATGGTCGGAGCCAATATCACAGCAGAGCAAGTGGGTGTTAAGATTTTCTTTATTTCGTACCATCAAACAGAACCTGTTGGCAAGCTGACTTCAATTGTTTCAGCTTGACAAAATAGCCGACAGAACAATTGAGGAAGCCGATGGTGACAACGATGGCAGAATTTCATTTGAAGAATTCTGTAGAGTGAGTTTTATTCAATGCGTTCCACTTCTATCGTAGATAAACAAGTCCCGTGCAGCCATCACTTTCAGGAAGAAATATTTATAGTTCTGACTATTTTATGACGAATTTGTTGCCCTTTTTAGATGTTACTGCACAGTTTTGACTTTTTCTATTTTTGTCCCTCTGCAGTAATGTTTTTATGAAAGTGACTAATTATAGGCTATGGAAAAGACGGACATAGAAGAGAAAATGTCGATTCGATTCCTCAACTAACCCCAAATAGCTTCTATAAGCAAAGTGCCCTTACGTTCGACAAATACGGTTTACGACATTTTTCCATTCACGGTGGCGACTGTCGGCAAATTAGTGTGTTGAGAGAATAGCTCTGGAGTGAAGATGTCGTCAATCATGTCTTATCCTCGAGGATGTATTTGCATAATGATGTCATTATGTATTTCGAATTGGCTCATTTATTGGTTTTATGGCGAGACTATAAGAATTACTTCATGATGCACATATTGTTACATACAGTTTTCATTGCGATGTATACTTCGTCTTGATTCTATAGTATTCGAATGTTTGTACTTTTTCCGATTTCTCCATAATTAGAAATAAAAATAAAGTTACGTTGTGTTGTTCAGAAATCAAAATCCGCTCGTTGTAATCATTCTGATACCTCCGATACTTTTGAAAAAGCGCTTGAAAACTATTTCATTACAAAATAGTGAATTAGTACGGGAAATTTCTTTACAACGAACTAGTAAACTGGCTGTTGCCACAAACAACAATAAACTTCTACGTCTCTCTATTATCAGAAGAACGTTTTCCTCCTTCTTTTTTGGCTGCCTTTTTCTTTCTTCTTTCGCGATCCTTGTTCATGGGTAGTAATGCATCCGCTCCTCTGTCATGTGGCTGTTTAGAAGCGTTAGCAGCTGAAATGAGGTGTTGGGTAATCGTCAACTGAATAGGGAAAGGTACGATTTTCACTTGACTCACCACCCAGAGTGGAATTGGGCTCCTGCCTGTGGGATTATATCAATTTTCTGTTTTGGCTATGGCTATGTTAAGCATCATTCCTCTTTCTATCTCTCACTCTCTCTCTCTCTTCTCTTTCTCTTTCTCTATCATAACTTCCCTCTTTTTTAACACAGAATGGACGGCATTTGATTCTCTTGAACCATAGGGCGATTGAACCTTCTGAAACGAAAGGGGATAGGGTGGGGAAACTTTTTCATTGGCATCTGTTGGCATCAGACATCACCAAACACCCTGCTGATTGTTTTCCATTACATTTCTGATTAGCACATTCAAATTCGAGTGGAATTATGAATGTAAACATTCGTGATAGCTAAGCACTCGAAAAACCCCTACTTTTAAGTTCTCCGCCTTTTATGCGTGATTTCCGGAAATGAAATCTAAGGGAATTTGGGGTGAAGCAGTATCGTTTACAGTAAGTTGTGCGGCATAAGAATACCTCTATATTCTTACTTGAGTAAGATCGTAGACAAACGGGGTGGACATGTGATGCGCATGTTAGCGTGCAACTGGTTAGCAAAAACTAATCGAGGGAGAATAGTCAGGGTATCAGTTTATGAACAACAAAAGCAGCTGATGGTATCTGCGAACCATTGCAGGAATTCTGTCAATTCGCCACCGCATAAAGTCCCATTTAAAGGTGTGTTGACTGGTTGAGTTGAAGGATAAAGGATGAAGTCTTGGGACGTTGATCAATCCCGTCTGAAGTATGAGCCCTTGCATTCGACTTCCATTCAGAATCGTAGCGGCGTATTGAATGCGTATATGGCCTATACAATGACCCGCGGTGGCCAAACGATGTATAAGTCCTCCCAGACAAGTCTGGTAGCAATTACCCGACTCCGGAGGTATGGAAAGCCTGGTTGGCTTAGCCGGATATTGATCTACGATCTAACAACTGGTACAGTTACTGTAGGCAATGTATATCCAGCCATAGGTGTTTGCATAAGTTGAGATTATACGAGGATTTGATCGCTGTTGTTTTGGAGAACTGGTATCACATCATGTGATGACTTTTATAGCGCACATTCCACGTTTCTGCGTATCAGCGTAAAAGACCCATGCCGAACATTAAAAACGTCATCGTGATCGGGGCTGATTGTTAAAACTGTCCGTAATAGTTGTTCAGATACCAAGTCGTCGAAGGATGGGAAGAGAATTAGCGCAGCTGTCAGGTATGGGTGGTTATCCTTCCAAATTATTGTTTTTTTTTNTTTTTTTTTGTCTGGCGTTCCTCTGGATTAGTAAGAAATTCGGTGAACTATCGTGATTCTTGACCGTTCGCTGAAGAACTTACTTTGTTCTTTGGTGAAGGTACCATATTCGCCCATTTTGACGATTGTTAGAACCTTGGAACAGTTCACATGGATTGCTGATCCGGCTTTGCAATTCGATTCACCCGGTGCCGACCATATTGAAATCGTTCGTGCTCCGAATGACTGCAATTTAGTGACGAATGATCATGCTGTGGCATCGAAATAATCTTTCGTCAACAGCTAGTTTTCTCTATGACTCGAGGCCGACGAAAAAGTACTCCGTCGGTAGTGTAAAGTGCCAAATCATTTTCACAAATCTGACTTGTAATTCTCAGGGACTTACTCTTTCAAAGTTAAAAGGTTAGTTAGAAAGGGCATACAACTGAGAGCAAGTACTTTTGTTCTCCAGCAAAGGAAACCTTATCAAAGCCTTTACCTGATATCCCTGTTTCACTGGATTTCTACTCCTGATAAGCATTTCCATCCCTAATGCCTTGAGAAGGAATTCCGTTTCATCAACCATTGGATTGAATCGATGACCACGTGCACCTTGAACGAATCTCCATCTCTTTCGGGGTGAACTTTTTNTTTTTGCCTAGGGAACTGGAACGTCTTACATACCGGGTATTAGTCCAGTAGTTTTGCTAATCACACTGAATATCAGATCCGCTGCGATTGTACCCTTTTTGATATGATGTATCGGTCGTCTGATATCGGTAATTTCACTCAGTTTTGTAAGCTGAAATACGGAAACGTCATTCTGATCGAACAAGCCATGTTTATAGTTGGCGAATCTCTGTTAGTGTTGAAATTTGCCGCTAAAAGTTACGGTAGCGCCGTGTGGGGCTATCGCGGAGTTTTGAAATCGCTGATTACGCTTTTGTAGCTGAATAGTTATCGACTGGTCGCCTTCGTCCTTGAATCGTTTAGATGTCCAATGATCGTGGAGTTCCCGAGACTCTTTATCGAAGGAGCATTGTTCATTCCCGAAACTGAAAGGGGAAGAGCCCTCAGTCGGCGCGCGGCGGACAACTAACTAGCACAGCCACTTAAATGCTGCCCGCATAAGACAACTAGCTATGAACTGCCACCACCTCCGCGAATGGCTCAGCACTCCCATAAATTACTCAACCCTGAGCAGCCGTGACGTAGCCTCAGCCATTAGTCAGACAGTTCTTGGAGAAAAGGGACTGAATAGGACATTTTCAAGGAAGAACGTCGTGTTACTTCTTCTCTATGTTCTGATTCGACAGTCTTGAAGAGCTCTCTTTGTTATGTTTTTATCAAAGCACCTCCATCATTCTTGACCCTTCTTTGGTAATTTCAAAGTTTTAATTTGAACCCATAATGGAAAAAGTAATACAGTGAGAATGAACGTCCACCACAGGTCATAGAGCAATGACGACAGAGGCTTTCTCTGCCTCTTTGCTGTCTAGGAACCGGTTGCATTCCAACAGAATCGCTTGTATGAAACGTATTTTATGCTCACCCTTGGTGTGATTCCACCATGGCAACAAAGAATCGTATCAGCAACCGTTGCTGCCAAAGGCAGGTATCCACATGCACGTTGAATGACTCCTTCCAAACATCTGGTAACTCGGCGAGAAAAACGACCCTGAAAGGATGACGTGATTTTCCCTTATCATCTGCCAAAAAAAGCTATTCATGACGTGGTCGAGGTCAGTTTAGGAATGTTCCATCAGTTTAATGCTGAACGGGCTGGGGGTGTGGCTAATTATGGTAATTGAAAAGCGTCGAGAATGCCTTGACTTTCTATCTATTCATCATTTCGGTCAAGGCATTTTTGTAGACGTTGGGGCAGTTTTACAGTCATGTCATACCAGCGCCCTGCCATGTCTTTGAGTAAAATTTGAGCCTGACTCTTAGGGAACTATGAACCCATCCTTCAACTTGTCATCGAATCAGAACTACCGTTCACGAAGACGTTTCTTCGACCTTTGGAACTGTCAGTAAGGCACATCAGGTAACTGAGAGGAACACGCAGGACAGCCAGTGAAGTCATGGGATTGTGTTTAGGATAAAAAAAAGGTCACTGCAGGCTTTTTAATAGCATTTGGCTCCGCAAATGCTATGTGCTGCTGTGAGGCAAAGTTTAAACCCAGGAAGCAACTAGAGGCGGAGATCAGGAATTTTGAACAGGCGCGGTAACTTCTCTCCAGAACTGTTTTCTAGAGGCTATGGGGTGAGCTGGTACGACATAGATACTGTATGTTTGCCATGGCTTTGAACTAAATACCCACTAAGAGAAAACAAGGCAGAGCATACAGTTACATCTACATACCTAGCAGGTAAAGTTAACGGCAAGTTGTATGTCTTAACCTACAGGAGGCTGAGGATTTAAGGATGCCCATTGTAATGATAAGCGAAGATTTTTACACTTGCATGCGGTTAAGCCGACGTGGTTCGGGTATGAACTCCGAATCGATTCTTGTTAGCTGCCACCACGTTATCGGCTGGTGTGGGAGGATAAAAGCACAGGTTTGTACATCGGCTGGCCCTTACGAGTCTTCGAGCACACCAAATATGCCTTCAAATGAAGCTACGATTCTGAATGAAAACCAGATCCAGGGGCGCTTCCTAGACGGGACTGTTCAACAAAATTTTATTTTCCACCTACAGAAGTTCGAAAGGGTGGGTTGAGCTGAGTCAAAGAGTGATTGTAAAAGCTCTGCTCAAGTACTACACATTAAAAAGATTAGATAGGAAATTAGACCACATCAGTGAACTTCAGATTATTTTAAGCTCCAGTTATTTGTTCGGGTTATTGAAGTCACTAAATAAATAGCTTGAAATACTAGACACTAGAAACTGCGTGGGGTTTTTTTNTTTTTTTCCTGGAACTGATCCGATTATTGAGAAGCCTCTGGAACTGCAGGTCGAAATGCGCATTGACCCCTTAGTGCAAGCTCTTCAACGTTTTTCGTTCCGCTTATCACTTCTATTCATCGCTCATTCCTGCAGCGAGATACTCAATAGTCCGTTGCAGGGTTCGGTGTTTGTTCCAAGTCAACGAGGGGTGCGAGTTCTGGCTGCCAAACGATACAGTGTTCCAGTTCTCACGTCATACTCACACACCATGTCTTGGTGACGGTTCTTGTCGTGAATGATGTATCCGAAAAGATCTTAGGCTTATCATCGTACTGTGATAGACACGAAATGTTTGCTTTCGATGGGGGAACGGAACTGTGAGGGGAGACAGAGGATGAGTCAGGTTGAACAGCTGAACAGAACAGTTTGAGTCTCACCATGCTTTTAGCTCCTTCCTCTCCCGATTTGTAGCGGATATGTTTGATAGTCCGTCTAATACAAGAGTAAGACGTCCAAATTAAAGCTCCTTCCCCACAGACGACTGTATTTGTCATTTGGGATTTGGAGGTCTGCACCCGAATCATGTGAGTGACAAGATGTTCCTCAGGTCACGGTCAGTGGAATGCAAGAAGGATTTTCAAAAAACTTCGGTATCAGGGACCACCCAGTAGTTTCCAATAAATTACAGATCAATTGCTTTCGCTAAACTTACCTCAATATGTATCGGGTACACCTCTGAAGCGCCTCGCAACAAGTACACATGATTTGGCATTTGTTTCTNCATGTGAGTGACAAGATGTTCCTCAGGTCACGGTCAGTGGAATGCAAGAAGGATTTTCAAAAAACTTCGGTATCAGGGACCACTCAGTTGTTTCCAATAATTTACAGGTCAATTGCTTTCGCTAAACTTACCTCAATATGTATCGGGTACACCTCTGAAGCGCCTCGCAACAAGTACACATGATTTGGCATTTGTTTCTGAAAAGATGGCTGATTAATTTGGGCAATCGTGAGACCCATTTCCAGAACTTTGCCTCACGGTCAGTAAATAGGGCAGGATATGGCAAAAAAGTAGAATTTGTCCCGTCGAAATCCCCTTTGAGGAGCATTTTTTCAGACTACTTTCGCCATTCGCGGTTGAAAACCCAGTTTCCAGATAATGTCGCAGATTTTTGTTAAGAGGCAGCATTATTATTTATATTGCCAAAAATAGAAATGCCAGAGTCGCACTGTGAACAGCGATCTTTACTTTTTAATCCATCAAGTTTGCCGCTATTTTTGAGTATTGTCTCTTTACCTTGAGAGCAAAAAGTAGAGTGATTGTTTCCAGAGAGTAATACTGTCCATCTGCTGTATAGCCACCGAGGAATAGCACTTTTCTTTTAGGCGGCCAACCATTTGAGTGCAGCCATCGATATACAGTACTGTAACTCTTCCTCATAAGGGCTCGAGTGGATTTTAAGCAGAGGGTATATGGTGTGGGATTGGGTGAAATTTGGTTTGGATGGATTTATTCTATTTGTTTTGCCAAGGCACAAACCAATGCTGGCTAGGTTGGTTCCGATTTGGTGCATTGATAGGTACTGCTGAACTCCCATACGGCACTTACCAAGAGGTGCTGAAGGGTTAAGGGTTACATAGACCTTTCTGCCCGATTTTTCATTCTTGCAAACGGGGATGAATCAAAAATTTACTAGGAACAACACCTCGGATCGCGATGATTGCTAAAATGAGAACATTCTAAAAAGATCTGAATCTTCTTACCCCTCCTTTTGAAAGCAAAGCTTTCGAGCTCTTTCACCTAGTGGTTAGGGCTCGCTGAAGAGCGATGGATTAACAATAGCTGTGTCAAGCGCTATGAAGCTGGAAAATGGAACATACGAATAGCTGCCGTCGAGGTTGCCGTAGATCCACACATCTGAAGCCAGCTGTAGCAGACTTGGTTCTCTAGCCAGAAGCTGCGAGACTGAGTCGAACAGATCTCCAACCTGTGAATAAGTTAGTTCAGCCGATTCTCATCTACTTGGGTTTCCAACATACCTCTGTTGGATCAAATTCAAACTCATACGGACCATGCTCGACCATTTTCATTGCCAGTGATGAAAGCTTCGTTTGCACTCTTCTTTTTACCTGAATCACCCTTTTTACCCAGCATAGTGCCAGGCTGTTCTGTAGATTTCTTGAACAATCAACCATAGAACTTTACAATTGCTAGGGTTTCTACGCAATACCGATTATTTTCTCACTTCTTCTGGCTTAATCGTTATCTTATAAGACCCTACCTGCTTCCATTCATCGTGGCCGCTGGGTTATTAGTTTTCAAATTACAAGCGAAGTTGGTACTGCTCTCCGTTCTGGGGGGAAAGATATCACAATGAGAGGCTTTCTCTATACAGAACAAATTCGTTAAGGTACTTCCTTCCCATTTTATCAGGCGCTACTGGAAACTAAGAAACCGCTTATATCAATTTATTGTCGGCGATAGGCAGAAGCTGAATGCTTTTTCTTCCAATAATGGAAGTTATGTGTGATATGCTTCTAAAACGTTGCTCAAACGATTTCCATTGGCGTTCCCTAGGGTCTCCTCATCTAAAGTGATTCTGTTCAGCTAAGCTGAGTCCATTCGTCCTTTATCTGCTGTATTTAAGCCATTTATTTGAAGATCATTTTTAATATTAGCCACTTAACAGTCGCACAGTCTGGGACCTCCAAGTATTCGACACGTGTGACCGTATGAGAATCTCAAGGTTGTGCTCCAACTCCGACTTCCAGAGACCCTGAGGTTCTGCTAACTTAAGGGTTTCTGGAAGTTTTCATTTTTGATCCATAATTTCTGTTGACTTCTGATTGCAGAGCTAGATTGTTGATTAGTGGAAGGTTTGAAAAACACATTGACTTGAGGAACTGGACTGTGACATCACGTTGTTAGTCACGATCACTGAGCGAAGATTCATATTTTTTGCAATTTAAATTGAACACAGAGGGTCCGCGCCAATTGCCATCTAATTTTTGAATACAGTCACCATCGCCTGTCGATCTGGCCCTGTATCCTGTCGATTTGGTCGTAATTACGTCACGCCAGAATCGCTCGTAATAGTACTGTACGTCCCACAATTGCCACAAGTAGACGACGTGAGCAAAGAAGAAGTTTGAACGCTGCGGGCAATGGCTACCGTATATTACGGTGCTGCAGGAAGTACCATGTGATCATCGGCTTCGATATTGGCACTGGTATTACCCAACTTATCTCCTTCCGTCTAATCCATCCAGTGAAGAACGTAGGCCTATGCTTAGGGTTTCGATTTGAAAGCTAGTGCGGTCCCAAGCTTCTAGCTGGTGTGTTTCCTTCTGGCAACACCAAGTGGGTATGAAGCTAGTCGATAGACTATGAAGAGAAGAGGTGTTTGGATCGTACAGGATGCCGATCCCTGTGTGCCTGTGCTTGTAACCAGTGCACTCACTCTTTCCAAGCGTATACTGGTATAGCATGATCTGTAAAGCTGTCATGTGAAGAGGAACGTCACAACTTCGAATTTCCACTTAAGAATGGAGGATGAAGACGGGGGAGGAGAAGTGAGGTGGGGGTCATTTTCCAGGATTTCATGGGCGACGATTATTCCCGAGTTATCTCCCACAATCCCCCTTGGTTGAATAAGTGCTGACTAATGAGGGTCACTGGGGGGTCTGAAAGCGATTTTGAAACAAATGGAGGTACACTCGTAAGGCAGTGGGTGATAAGTACAGTGATCTTACCATTCTTGTAACATTGTTATCCATTTGTGTAACATGGACTTCCAAAAACATATTTGCCTCCTGATCCTCGATGGTTTCATTCTGTAAGTCGAGAAAAATGCTGTGGATCTCAGTTTTTACGGTAGCAATCGATGTGGTGAGCAACTCAAGTCTTACCACTGGAAATTTGTAGGCTTGATTGAAATTTCGCAGTGTGTCATTAAGTTTTCTGAGCGATGAGAAGTTGGGACTGATTGTGTAGTATTTGTTGACCTCCTGAATTAGAGTTTAGCATGTCGCTTGTACAGACTGTCCACCCTAGACGGATTTAGGTGTGCGATTGGGATTTCTCACTGAGAGGTGTAGTTCCTTTGTTATTTGCTGATCACAGCTAGTAGAATCCCTTCGGAGGCTCTGGTAATAGGAGTCGTGGGTAAAGTTCCTGGAGCGAAAAACAGGTGAAATATCGGCTTTAGGAATATTCCAAGCGTTATACCCTGGGGTGGGATCACAAGTGTGTGGCGGGTACCAAAGGTAGAGGTTATCCCTTACCGTCACACCTGATTGCAAGTTGAGCCCTTACCAGCAGTGGCAAAGCATTCGGCATCTGATCAATCCACGGCGCTTTCTCGGCTCGTTTGAGGCTTTCCTTCCGTCGTTCTTCCAGATGACTACTCATCAATGGTATCACAGAGATTGTGATCAAAAGCAAGATGATGAGATACGGCAGGGCGTTTTTCAGCTCACTATCTCCTGTTTCTACCATGCGAACTTGCTGAAATAGATTGTATTACAGTATCGGATTAATTCCATTCAGAGGGCATTTAGCTAAGATTGGGATCCACCGGGAGCCATGGCAATTACTGAACAATTGAGAGTTAATTTGTGGATTGAACGAGCATTGAACGTTTCAAGTCCGAGTTGACTTTGTAGCTAGCTGCCGGTGGCCGCACGGAAATTCAGGGAAGTACAGCAAACTCTTACACTTATGGGACCTGAGATCGAAGTCCCTTAGGCCTCCTATATGGCTTTGCATATACCGGTATACCCTCAGAGTAGTCAAGCGCGATTGGGCTCTGCACAGGGTTAGTAGCCGATATAGTTAACATATTGACGGAATCATCTCCCTCAAAGTCTAGAGGTAGCAAAGCAATAAGGACTGCCAGCCCGAACCTCTACCCAACCCTACTCGGGGCTTCCAGAGGTCAACGACCGACTGACCGGCTGACGGCGTTGCCTGCCACGCGTTGACAACGCTGGACATAGATAGATATCACTCACGCGGCCTTAAAAAAGTAGACTGTTTTGCGTTGTCAACGCGTGGCCAGCAACGCGGTGGGTCGGTCTGTCAGTCGGTCGTCGATTGGGGCAACTTACATCGTTGAACTTTGAAAGAGCCCACTGAAGACAAGGGCTCCCATCTGAAATATCGCCTAATACTCCTACACCTAGCTTTGGTTTTCTGAATCATAAGCGAAAGGTTGATTTATTACCGAAAATGTGGGATCTTCAACTTCGTTACAGTAATCATCCATGCAACACATAAGCGATCCAGTAATTATTTTCTGAAATTTGCAGATCGTCAATGATCGTTCATAGCAGTAACATCTTATTTGACCATATTTCAAAACTTATTTATTTCTAATCACTTAATTTCTGGGCGAGGGAGGTGAAGTGGCAAGTAGCGCACTCCGCACACATCACGGATGGATATCCGCCTAGGCCAACCGGGTCTTACATCCTTCCGAGGTCGGTGAATTGGTACTAGACTCGTCTGGGAGGATAAAAACACCGATTTGTACATCGGATAATTCATTGTATAGGCCACATACGCCTTCAATACGCCACTACAATTATAAATGTAAGTCGAACTCGTAGGCGTTTCCCTAGGACGGGATCGATTAACTTTCCAAGATTATCTTACTCTAATTTAAAAGACAGTTATTTGCCTTCTTAAAGAAGTTCTTCATCAGAAGCAAGATAAACTTCATTTTTTAGTAGATGGAAGTTCTTATTCAGTGATAGTTGTATTCCTTCCGTAAGAAATACTACAGGGGTTGAAGGAGCAGGGGGGTCCTCATTGACCGTTTTAAGCGTTCCCCAGGTGGGACTCGCAGTTCTCCTGTATGTATATGTGAAGGTCGTTTCTATGAAGAATAAAGTTTGCTAGCGTTACCCAATCCCGTTTATAGATCCACAATTCGACTTCCGTTCAGGTCCTAGTGGCGTTTTAGATGCGTGGCATGTGGCCTATACAACGACCTTCGGTGCCCAGCCGATGTACAAGTCAGCGCTTTTATCCTCCCACACAAGTCTGGTACCAACTGGTCGA